TGTGTGTGTGTGTGTGTGTGTGTGTGCGTGAGCGCGTGTGTGTGTGTCTAAAGCTACCTCTCTGCAAAATAAGATTTTAAGATTTATGGAGGCAAACAAATGATTAGAGAAAGATAAAATGACTCCTGAAGGCTAAGGCTCTTCTTTGGCTTCTTTGTCTCAGACTCTGCCTCTGGCACCATCTTCCTCCTCCCCTTCTATGTTGCCTATGCCTCCTCTATACCCTCAAATCTCCCATACTAATTCTCTTGCCAAACTTCCCCTTTTCTCTGAAACTCTTCGCACTCCCTTTTCCTCTGAATTTGTCAGAACCTGTCCCTTTAAAATTAAGCCTTCTGGGACCTCCCTGGTGGTCCAGTGGTTAAGAATCCACCTTCCAATGCAGGGGATGTGGGTTCGATCCCTGGTCGGGGAACTAATATCCCACATGCTGCAGGGCAACTAAGCCCGCGTGCCTCGACCACTGAGCCCGTGTGCTCTAGAGCTCATGCGCCACAACTAGAGAGCCTGCATGCCGCAACTACTGAGCCCATGCGATCTGGAGCCCGCGTGCTCTGCAGCCCGCACGACAACAGCTAGAGAGAAGCCCGTGCGCCACAAGGAAGAGCCTGCGAGCTGCAATGAAAGATCCCGCATACCACAACGAAGATCCCGCATGCCACAACTAAGACCTGACGCAGCCAAATGATTAATTAAATTAAGCCTTCTGAGGATCCAGAGGGTAAACCATTAATTTCTTATATTCCCTGAACTAAAGTTGAACTGTAAACCATAGTCAAAGATTTTCCCAAAGTAACTGAAAATCCTCACAGATTTGCTGAGGAATTTAATATAGTCATTCAGCCATATCAGCTTGGTTTCTCTGACTTACATCAACTAGTTCATATGCTTGTCGGTGAAGGCCAGGCCCACCATTAGATGAAAATCGCTAACTGGGAAAGTCCTGTAAGTTCTCTAGAATTACAACTAGGAGACCAGCCTGTTTCTTATATGGTCAGGCTCAGGCAATCACAAGGCGACTTCATCAAGAAATTCCTAGGGATTTTCCAAAGCCTGTTGATCAGAACCAAATTCAGGCTTGCACACAAAAATCTGATGAACCTGTTCATAACTATTGTAATCAACTTCAGATTGTTTTTGAAGAAAATTCTGGTCTTCCTTCAGATGTTGATAATACCCAGCTAGCTTTTAACTCTATGTTTATTAATGGGATGAACCGGGAGATTTCCCTTTTAGTAAAAAGGACCAGGATGGAATCAGAAACTATCTCCACTCCAGATTTAGTTAATCTGGCAAACCAGCTCCCTTACACTCTCTAGATGAGTCATCTCTAAGGAAGGTCACCAAAATTCTTAATTTACAATTCTGGAAAATGAAGGCTCCTAAATGAAACCAACACCCTCCTAGTTTCTGCTATTATTGCAAAGATCCAGGACACTGGGAAAGAGATTGCTCCAAATTTAAGCACTTTAGGTGCCTTCAGCCGTCTAACCAGCCTTTCCAACTTCCTCCCAACTCTTAATGATGGGGCTCCCAGGAACTGTAGTTGGGACTCTTCCCAATCCTCCCTCCTAATCAACTTTGAGAAACATTTCTCCAGATTGGGGATGAATTTTTTCCAGGTCTAACTGACACTGGAGCCACACTCTTGGTGCTCAGCCCCACTACTATAAAGCAGCCCCTGCCTCAGAGAGCTAAAACAGTTCTAATAGTGAAGATCTCCAATGAATAGGTTAAGAGGTTCCTGCCTCTTAACCTATTGCCTTTGTTTAGGCCCTTCGAGAGAGATACGTACTTTTTCCCTTAGTAACTCTGCCCCTATTCATTCTAATATTCTTTCCATATCTGAGACTTCTTAGGAGTATTAAGCCAGAATTTCTTTCCCCCAAAAGGAGGAAATAATTCTAGAATTTGACAGTAGTCATTAAAGTAAACCACCAGGTGAATTAAATGACTCTTTGACATCTTTTATTTGTTCCATCTCTGATGTTAATAGAGCTGATTCTGGAAAAACTGATTGTTTGTCCCTATTGAATTAGCTACCATCCTTCTTATGGACAAAATCTCCAAATGATGCTGGCAAAATTTATAGTGCATCTCCCATGAAAATTCAAATAGGTCCCTCAAAACCTCTTCCCAATATTAATCAATGCCCTGTAAGTAAAGAAAGCCCTTCAAAGCATAAAGCCCATAATAGAAGATTACACAGCTCAAGGCCTCATTATCCCTTGTACTGGCCCCTGTAACACTCCCATTTTACCAGTAAGAAAATCTAAGGGCCGCGGGTGGACATTTGTCCAGGACCTCCGAGCAATAAACAACATTGTTATCCCTTGACACCCTGTTGTTCCTAACGTTATGTTACTAGCATCCATTCCCACCGAAAGTAATTTCTTTTCTGTAAATGATTTATGTAGTGCATTCTTCAGTATTCCAGTTGATGAAGCTAGCCAATACCTTTTTTCCTTCATTTGGGAAGAAAAACAATTCACTTGGACAGCAATGCCTTAGGGTTTTACTGTGAGTCCTTATTTCCTCCAAATCCTGAAAGCTGATCTGGATGATATAAAGCTCCCTGGAGGTTCTACTTTGTTGCAATATGTGGAGGATTTGATTTCTTTGCTCTCCTTCTCAAGCTTCCTCACAGGAAGAAAGTATCTACTTGCTAAAGCTTTTAACTTTAAAAAGCCATAAGGTCATCAAAGAAATTTTTCTGTTTGCCCAAACCCTGGTTTGATAGGGCAACAGTCCCCAACCTTTTGGGCACCAGGGACTGGTTTCATGGAAGGCAATTTTTCCACGGATGGGGTGGGGGGGTAGGGGGGGGGGAGGGGATGGTTCAGGCAGTAATACAAGCGACGGGAGGCGATGCGGAGCAGCAGAGGAAGCTTCCCTGCTTGCCCACCACTCACCTCCTGCTGTGCAGCCCGGTTCCTAACAGGCCACGGACAGGTACCAGTCCATAGCCCAGGGCTTGGGGACCCCTGCAAGAGATCATCTGATATGAGAACAAGGGCTACACCTAGATCCAGATAGACTTTGTGGTGTCCTAAATTTCCCCAAACCCAAAACTAAGTGAGGTTTTCTCTGGCTAGTTGGCTATTGCCAAAATTGGATTCCAAATTTCTCTTTTATGGTCAAACCTCTGTATGTTTTACTAAACAATAACAACTCTGACCCAATATTATGGACAACATAGCTTTCAAGTCCTTAAAGGAGTTTGATGAACCCAGTGCCCTTAGTCATACCAATGATCAGATTTTTTTTTTCCTTTTTGTATTTGAAAAGGAGGGAAATGCCCTTGGGGTACTCACCCAAAAACATTGGACCACCATTGACCCATTAGTGTATTATAGCCAGAAACTGAATCCTGTGGCACAGAGATTCCCCCCTACCCCCTTGCCCTAGAGCCACTACAGTCACTGCCCTTTTGGTTAAGACTATCAGAAAAATCATTATGGGATCCCCTTTAACCATTTTTGTACCTAATACAGTAGAAGCTCTCCTGAATTCTCACCACACAAAACATTTCTCAGTCAGCCACCACAACTCTTATGAAGTCTTTTTGTTAACCGCCCCTCACATTATTCTTTTATGTTGTAGTAATCTTAACGCTGCTACTCATTTTGTTGTTGTTGTTTCAATAAAAATTATACAAATTTAATGACTCTCAGGGAAGAATTAAAAACACCCCCATGTCCACATATCAGCAGAACTCAATTTATACTTGTTATTCTTTTTTTTTTAATTGAGGTATAATTGACATACAACATTATAATAGTTTCAGTTGTACAACATACATAATGATTCCATATTTGTATATATTGTGAAATGATCACCACAATAAGTCTAGTTAACATCCATCACCACACAGTTACAGAATTTTTCTCTCATCATGAGAACTTTAAAGATTTACTCTTAGCAAATTTCAATAGGCAATACAGTATTAATATAGTTGCCATGCTATGTATTATATCCCCATGACTTATGTATTTTAGAATTGGAAGTTTGTATGTTTTCATCCCCCTTTACCCATTAACCCTGCTACTCTTCTCCCCTCCATTGCCAACAAAGTCCCTCACAATTTCTTTTTTTTTTTTTTAATTTATCTATTTATTTATATTTTATTTTTGGCTGCCTTGGGTCTTCGTTGCTGGGCGTTCTCTAGTTGCAGCGAGCGGGGGCTACTCTTCATTGCAGTGTGCAGGCTTCTCATTGCGGTGGCTTCTCTTGTTGCAGAGCATGGGCTCTAGGCACGCGGGCTTCAGCAGTTGCGGCATGTAGGCTGTACAGCGCAGGATCAGTAGTTGTGGCGCACGGGCTTAGTTACTCCGCGGCATGTGGGATCTTCCCAGACCAGGGCTTGAACCCTTGTCCCCTGCATTGGTAGGTGGATTCTTAACCACTGCGCCACCAGGGAAGTCCCTCTCACAATTTCTTAATGCTGACAGATCATCTTCTCACTCTTTGTGATGATCTAAAGGAAGTTCCTTTAGGTAACACTGACTTCTTGTGGTTCACTGCTGGTTCTTATTTAAAAGGTGACAATGGCAAATATTGTGCTAGGTGTGCTACTGCAACTTCTTTTGATGGATTTTCCTACATTTGTAGGCAAATGGATTTCCTACAACTTCCTGTGTCTAATGGATATAAATATGTTTTAGTCATGATCTGTATGTTTTCACACTGCATTGAAGCCTTCCCTTGCAAGCAGGCTACTGCCGCTTCTGTGGCTAAATTCCATTTGGAAAAGATTACCCCTACCTGGGGAACTCTTCTCAAACTTCATAGTGATTGAGGAACCTATTTTACTGGCCAGGTACTTTGACAAGTTTGCACTCTTTGGCCAGTTTTACAACACTTTTACTGTGTTTACCACCCTCGATCCTCTGGTTTAGTTGAATGCACCAACAACATTATTAAGACTTATTTGGCAAAATTTGTAGAGGCCCTCCAAATACCTTAGCCAAAAGCATTGACACTGGTCCTTCTTATTTCAGATCCACCACTTCCGGAACTCATAAAGTCTCACCCTTTGAGATAGTACAGGATGCCAAACACACTTGGCTCCTGCGTCTTTTGACCCACAACTGATAAAAGGAGAGAAACTCCAGTATTGCAAAGGCCTAATTGTTTCTATTAAAAATAGCCATGTTTTGTTAGAGGAGTCTTTTCACAGTGGACTCTCAGGAGGATGAAGACCTTAAGCATCACAAGTTGCAAAATGGAGATTTCATCTATAGCAAAAGACATCTCCAGAAGAACTCTCTTCAACCTTGTTGGAGAAGCCCCTATCAGGTACTGCTAACCAACCCTTGTGCCACTGAACCCCAAGGAAAAGACTCTTGGATTCATGTGACACACTTAAAGAAAGCACCGACTAATGAGAACTTACTGTATAGCACAAGGAACTCTACTCAGTGCTCTGTGGTGACCTAAATGGGAAGGAAATCCAAAAAAGAGGGGATGTATGTATACGTACAGCTGATTCACTTTGCTATATAGCAGAAACTAACACAACATTGTAAAGCAACTACACTCCAGTAAAAATTTATTTTAAAAAAAGAAAGAAAGAAAGCACCAAACACTGACTGGACCTGTACATCATCTGGTGACCTAAAAGTAAAGATTTCCTGGAATTGAAGCAGATGACATCTGATGAGACAGCTTTTCCAAGATATCTGGGTCAGGCCTATTGGAAGTTTGTCACCAAAACTTTGATGGTGACACTATGCTTCAGATGATCTCCAATGTCTATTTTCTTGATAACATATGGACTTTAGATAAAAAGAAGTGCCTGAGTGGGGCTTCCCTGGTGGTGCAGTAGTTAAGAATCCACGTGCCAACACAGGGGACATGGGTTCAAGCCCTGGTCCGGGAAGATCCCACGTGCCATGGAGCAACTAATCCCGTGCACCACAACTAGTGAGCCTGCACTCTAGAGCCTGCGAGCCACAACTACTGAAGCCCACACACCTAGAGCCTGTGCTCCGCAACAAGAGAAACCACCGCTATGAAAAGCCCGTGCACTGCAACAAAGAGTAGCCCCCACTCGCCACAATTAGAGAAAGCCCGCATGTAGCAATGAAGACCCAACGCAGCCAAAAAATAAAATAAATTTATATATAAATTTATATATAAAAAAAAAGAACAAAGCTGGAGGCATAACCCTCCCAGACTTCAGACAATACTACAAAGCTACAGTAATCAAAATAGCATGGTATTGGCACAAAAACAGACATATGGATCAATGGAACAAAATACAGAGCCCAGAAATAAACCCACACACCTATGGTCAATTATTCTTCGACAAGGTAGCAAGAATATACAATGCAGAAAAGACAGTCTCTTCAGCAAGTAGTGATGGGAAAGTTGGACAGCTGCATGTAAATCAATGAAGTTAGAACACTCCCTCACACCATACACAAAAACAAACTCAAAATAGCTTCAAGACTTAAATATAAGACTATAGGGACTTCCCTGGTGGCACAGTGGTTAAAAATCCACTTGCCAACGCAGGGGAGACAGGTTTGAGCCCTGGTCCAGGAAGATCCCACATGCTGCAGAGCAGCTAGGCCCATGAGCCACAACTACTGAGCCTGCGCTCTAGAGTCCGCGAGCCACAACAACTGAGCCCACATGCTGCAACTACTGAAGCCCATACGCCTAGAGCTCGTGCTCTGCAATGGCACCTAGGAGCCACTGCAATGACAAGACTGCACACTGCAACGAAGAGTAGCCCCCACTCGCTGCAACTAGAGAAAGCCCGCGTGCAACAAAGAAGACCCAATGCAGCCAAAAATAAAAATAAATTTTAAAGTAATTTAAAAAAAAAGACTATAAATGATACCATACAACTCCTAGAAGAGAACATAGGCAAAACATTCTCTGACATCAATCATAGCAACGTTTTCTTAGGTAAGTCTCCCAGGCGATAGAAATAAAAGCAGAAATAAATAAATGGGACCTAATCAAATTTACAAGCTTTTGCACAGCAAAGGAAACCGGGGGGAAGGGTTGGGGGAAGGGATAGTTAGGGAGTTTGGGATCAATATGTAAACACTGCTATATTTAAAATGGATAACCAACGAGGACCTACTGTATGGCACAGGGAACTCTGCTCAATATTATGTGGCAGCCTGAATGGGAGGGGAGTTTGGGGGAGAATGGATACATGTATAAGTATGGCTGAGTCGCTTTGCTGTGCACCTGAAACTATCATAACATTGTTAATTGGCTATACTCCAATATAAAATAAAAAGTTTTAAAAAAACATTAAGAAACTATTATAAATCAGGGTACAGGGACATGAAAATTAAGTCAAAGTGTGATCCTGTATTGGATCAGTTGAAATGGAATGGATAATTCTATGATCCATTTAACTATCTAAAGAATACTACTGAAAGTATTCTGAAATCAGAGAAAACAGGTGAAAATATTAAAGTGAATAAAAAATTATGCAAATAAAAAAGCAAGGTAGGGAGTTCTCTGGTGGTTAGGATTCCAGGCTTTCACTGCCATGGCCTGGGTTCAATCCCTGGTCGGGGAACTGAGATTCCACAAGCCTCAGCATGGCTCAAAAAAAAAAAAAGAAAAAGAAAGGTAATAATTAACTCCAAGAAAAACAAAAAAAAATCACATGCTAATAATGCAAACACTATTAATTTAACTGAAATGTGATAAAAATTATATTAGAAATATGGGGATAAAGGAAATGGTCAGGAAAGTGGTGTAAAAAGCTAAATTCTCATTTACCCTAACAGGAAGTTAATTGAGAATATCTAAAATTAATAAATCAAGAAAAACAGTATGAAGTATATTATTCAGAAATATAGCAGTAAATACCAGAAAAAAATAGCTAAAAGTCAAAAGCATTCACCTCTGAGGAACAGCAATGAAGGTGGCGAACTGTTTGTTGTGCTTTCATTTTTAAGCTTTTGAGTATTAACTGAATTTTTAACTATGTATGTGTATATTATTTTGATTTAAAAATTAAAAATCATGGGCTTCCCTGGTGGCGCAGTGGTTCAGAGTCTGCCTGCCGATGCAGGGGACACGGGTTCGTGCCCCGGTCCGGGAGGATCCCGCATGCCGCGGAGCGGCTGGGCCCGTGAGCCATGGCCGCTGGGCCTGCGCGTCCGGAGCCTGTGCTCCGCAACGGGAGAGGCCACAACAGTGAGAGGCCCGCGTACCGCAAAAAAAATAAATAAATAAAAATAAAAATCATTTCTTTTTAAATAAGGAAGAAATATATCCCAAAACAGCTGGCAAATAGGGAGGAGAAAACAAAATTAAACATTTACTAGAAGTACCAAAGTATAGACCCATTTCAAGTTAAGGATGAACAGATCCACATTTCTCAATAGTCCTTGAGCAATAGTTTATCACAGCACAGAACAGCTATTCATTTACATTAAAAAATAACATCAAAACAAGCTAAATTGTTTCTGGTCTACTCTGTTTAATAGGGCAAGGAAGATTGATGCATTTTGGAAATACTATCATCAAAAGATGGTTAAAATGGTAAAGATTTATCACCTAAAGGTGTAAGCTTTGGATATCTGGAATAAAAACCTATTGGTTCTCTGATGGTGCCAGATAAATGAGTTTAGGCAAGAAAGTTTATTGTTACAAAAAGTATAGATGACACATAAAGATTATTGGGACACTAACAATCAATGTCAGATTTTTGTCTTCTTCATTTCAAGAGCCACCAACCCGTTTTCTTTAGACTGCCTGGGCTGGTTTGGGCCAAGATCTAGTCAATATGTAGTCTGCCAGTGATGTAGGTAAATAAGATAGAGGGATGAAGAAAAATTTAGCATCCCAGCCAGCTGAGTATCGAGTGCGGGGATGAACAGATGTCAGGGCATGTTCCATACAGTCAGTAACCAGGTTCAGGTTTGTGCTACAACTCAACATCCCTTGTTTCAGGAGATCGTGATCTGTGTACAAAAAGAAAAATGGTGGTCAGCAATCTTATTGCTTATATTTTTAAGATCCTGTTGCATGCAGTCACAGAAGTCTAATTACATTTAATTGCCACAAGGATTAGGCCAATCAGACCTGTGCTTCGCAATATAACAGCCACTAGCCACATGCAGCTAATGAGCACTTAAAATACAGCTAGCGTGACTGAAAACTGAATTTTGGGGGGGTGGGAGGTGTTGCTGCGCAGCACAGCTTGCGGTATCTTAGTTCTTCGACCAGCGACTGAAGCCGGGCCCCAGCAGTGAAAGTGCCAAGTCCTAACCACTGGACTGCCAGGGAATTCCCTGAAAACTGAATTTTTTAATTTAATTGATTTTTTTCCCCCTCCCCACCCCCCAATTGAATTGATTTTAATTTTAAAACTCAACTCTGTTATTGGAAAACTTCTAAGTATGTTTGGAACAATGTAGGTATGTGAATCTACTTTTTCAACTGGAAATTTTTTAACATCTTTATTGAGATAATTCACATTCATAAAAACCATCCATTTAAAGTATACAAATCAATGACTTTTAGTATATCCAGAGTTGTGCAACCATCACCACAATCTAAGTTTAGGACATTTTCATCATCCCAAAAAGAAACGCCATACCCATTAGCAATCACTCCCATTTCCTGCCAACCCACCCAGCCCTAGGCAAAAACCAATCTACTTTCTGTCTCTATGGCTTGCCTTTTCTGGACACTTCATGTAAATAGAATCATACATTGTGGTCTTTTGTGACTGGCTTCTCTCAGGGGCAAAATGTTCTCAAGGTTCATCCTGTCATAGCATGGATCAGTACTTCATTTCTTTTAATTGCCAAGTAATATTCCATTGTGGGGCTATACCACATTTTGTTTACCCATTCAACAGTCGATGGACATCTGAACTGTTTCCACTCTGGGGCTCTTATGAATAATGCTGCTGGTAACCGTAAATTGTATTAATCCAAATACAGAAGAAGTACCTCCTAGGAAAATTTAGCATGCAAGTTGAGATGTGCTATAAGTGTAAAATACACACCAATTTTCAAAGACTAATAGGAAAAAGAATATAAAATATCTTATTAATAGCTTTTATATTGATAATAAATGTTGAAATGATAGTATTTTGGATATATCGGTCTTAAATAAAATGTATTATTAAAATTTGTTTAACCTGTTTCTTTTCCTTTTTTAGAAAGTAGCTACTAGAAAATTTAAGATTACATATGTGGCTGTCATATATCTGTTGGACAGCACTGATCTAGATTATTCTGATCCATGGACAAGTATATGAACAATTTCAACTCCTTAAATCATGAAATACATATATCTCTCCTTTTACATATTGTCACTTCTTAGTAAATTCTATTTTCCTTTGATTTCTATTGCCAAACTACATGTACTCGCAAGGGGAAACAAATTCCCTAATAGTTTAAAACTTTAGGTGGAGAAGAGCTTAGAACAATGGCTGTGCCCCTGACATGTTAGGAACTGTAGTTCTCTAGCTTGAGTTCTGAGAGGCTGAGGAAGTTTGCTGTCAGCTAGCTTTTCCTTGTTCCAATTTCTCTCCCCTTTGTCGATGGTGACTCTCTTACGCCTGATGCACCTAGAAGACAGGGTTGTAGGTCGGGACTCTTCTGTCTGCACATCCCCCTTCTTTTCTCTGTACCGCAATATCACCCAAAGCCAAGCACAGGACTACTGCTACCCACCACGGGGCCTTTTTGTGAAAGGGAAAAGAGAGCTGCTCCCTTTGCCCTTGGCAAGCTGCTGACTGCTCTGTGTGAAGAAAAAGCATCCCTTCCCCCCAGGAAGGTGCAGACCCACACAGTGCGCATGACTTAATTCTACTTAGAGGACTGCCTTCCCTGTTCCCCCAAAACTGCCTCCTCCTCCAGATTATCAGAATGGCATTCTTACACGAAATTAAACCATCTCACTCCTACCAGGCTCCCAGGGCCTGCACATGAGGTCTAGCCTCTGCGAATGGCCAATAGGGCCCTGCAAATCCGGTCCTAACTCACTTACCTCTCCCCACCTATATATACCCTCCCTCCCCTCACAATAAAACGTGGAGTTTGTGGCTTGGCTGTTACCCAAAGGGTAGATAATATTGAAGGCTGAACTTTAGTTAAGCAGGCCCCCACACCAGTCCTGACAAACTGTGGAGGGCACCCCCTCCCAAGACCCAGAGGCTCCATGCCTCTAACCATGTAATATCTCCCTGGTGCGCAGGTGGCCAGGCTCACAGGTGACAAGGCAGGGCAGGCCCTGGCCCTAGGCTGCCTGTATGGCCTCTTCCTCAGCCACAACAGCCATCACCAAGCCAACCATGAAGGCACTGGGACCTTCCTGAACCCCTCTTGTCCTGGGAAGGCTTTGTTTAAGGAGCTTTTTTCTCAGAAGATCTACCAATCATTCTCCACCAACCCTCTTTGTCCTTCTCATGCAAGGTTATCCATTATACCGTCAAAAGAAAAGCTCACAGGTATCAAAAAACTTCTGTCCATAGGACTCCTTAATATGCACAGGGACTTCTTTCCAGACTTGTTTCGCTGCCTCTGAGGACTTCTGCAAATCTGACATTCCTGTTCTGAAGTAGCCGGGTTCAATTATGCTGATTTTCACCCCGAAATGTTGAAGCTCACGCCTAGGAAAAAGAAATTCTCAAGTTAACTCCTCTGATTGAAAGATACCACAATTTCAACGTTCTCAGGGAAAAAACAAAACAGAACAAAAAATAGTTATAAAAACACCTTTACTGAATATTTTAAAGAATAAAGAAATGGAAAGGAAAAAAATAAAATTTTAAACATCCCTAGATGCCACAATTGGGACATGATTATACAAACCACCATAACCATTCAATCCCACACCCACTCATTTAACAGAGTCATTAAGTTTCTACCATGTGCTATACACTGGAAATATGAAAACGACAAAGAATAATAAAGAAAATTAGCATTTTTATGGAATCTACTGTGCTAAGTGTTTTACATGCACAACCTCAGTAAATTAAGACTCTGTTCACCACCCCAAAAAGCTCACAGTGGGTGAGTCTGACAAGTAAGCAAATAATTGCAATACAATTCAAAAGAATTTAAAGGAGAGGTATTCAAGGGGCTACATAAGTAGAGAGGAGGATATAGATTTTCTGAGGGAGTCAGAGAAGGCTTCAGTGAGGAGAAAATGTTTCAGTTGAGCTTCGAAGGATAAAGAGGAAATTTCCCAGTGAGGAAAGAGGTGGAATGGAATACCAGGCAGCAGAAACTGTACACAGAGCGCAGGGGGCTGTGCAAAATTACAGTGTGTTCAAAGACAGCAAGAGACCATTAGTGGAATATGATGTGGGCATTAAAATAACAGGCCATTGGTCGTTCCAGAATATTCGGGTTAGTTCAAAAAACAGTTCCAAAAATACTTATCAGGAGCTGTGTACGTGCCAGGCACTGTGCTAAGTGCCGCCTTCACCAAGTAAAGTAAGATGACATGGCGCACCATGTGAGAGGTATTCTCTCAGTACTCCAGGGACAGTGATGAGGGGTGCTCCCTGATCTAGAGGTTCAAGCAGCCTCGTTCGAGAAGATGAAGCCCAAGCTGATGTCAAGGAGAAATGTTTGGAACCATGGTCCATAAGAATGTAAAACATAAAGCATCATGAGTCTCTAAAGCCATGAGTGGTTCTCAAAGTGTAGACCCCAGATCAACAGCATCAGCGTCTGGGAGCTGGTTGGAAATGCAGATTATTGAGCCCCAGTCCAAACTTACAGTCAGAAACTCTGGGGGTGAGAACCAATAATCTGTTTGAACAAGCCCTTCAGGTGGCTCTGAGGCATGCTAAAAGTTAAGAACCACTGCTCTAAAGGAAAAGCCTCCCTTATCAAACCCAAACCTAAAACTTTCCAAGTCAGAGCTTCAGAAAATGATTCTCCAGGTGCCTGTGCGTGCTGGGGAAGAAGGAGGGGCTACGCAAGCCAGGGGTGCTTCAGCCCTCTACATTGCACCTCCCCTTGCAGCTTTCTCACAGATTCCCAACACACCACAACATCTCCAGCCCCTCTAAAACTCCAGTCCAAATGTGGGACAAAACTTCCTGTTTAATCCTTAGCACAATTAAGGCAAACTGGAATTTTCTAAAGGAATTAGTGATTTAAGGTTGGAAGGGCATATCTTTGTTCTTGGTCTGGGAATGAGTCAAGGAGTCCAAGAGTCATGAGTGGTAGTAAATCAGAAGGCAGCAGCCCTGTGGAAATAGACAGGATGTTGGGTAGGCAGAAAGCCAGACAAGGTGCCTGCCACATAGTAACAACTCATGTAGTGTCCACGGTTATTTCCCTATTCCCTTCCTGAGCAGATAATATAGGCACAATGTATTAGATATATACCAGTCATGGCATGTGGTAGGCTAAATAATGGCCCCCAAAGATATCAGGTCCTAATCCCCGGAACCTGTAAATATTACCTTATGTGGCAAAGATTTTGCAAGTTTGATTGAGTTAAGGATCTTGAGATAGGAAAACTGTGCCAGATTATCTGGGTGCATCCTAAATGCAATCACAACTATCCTTATAAAAGAGGCAGAGGTAGATTTGAAGACCAACAGAGGAAGAGAAGGCAGCATGATCATGAAAGCAGAGATTGGAGTGATGTGGCCACAAGCCAAGGAATGCTGGCAGCCACCAGAAGCTGGAAGAGGCAAGTAATGAATTCTCTCCTAGAGCCTCCGGAAGGAACGTGGCCCTGTCAACAACTGATTTTAGCCCAGTGATACTGATTTCAGACTTCTAGACTCCAGAACTCTGAGGGAATAAATATGTGTTGTTGTAGGACACCATATACCATAAATTACTTGTGGTAATTTATTACAGCAGCCATAGGAAGCTAATACATGGTGCCTATAATATTTATAGCTCATTTCCAAGTGAAACTGCCCTAGAGTCAGCCCCTGCTAAGGGAGAGTCTGTGCAGCACTATTTTGTACCATGTGACTGCACCCTCATGTCTGTAGCTGACTGGACCAGGAATGGTACTTGATGGGAGGGGAGCCCCTCTCAGGGCTAGACAGTGACTCTGCCTGTTATTACCTATATGGCCTTGGCAAATTACTGAACCTCTGTGCCTCAGTTTCCCTAGATATAGTCAACACAATAAAGATAAAATAATTCCTTTCTCATTGGGTTGCCATGAAAATTAAATGATTTATTAGATGGAAAGTACTCACAACAGTGCCTGACACATAATAAGTGCAAAAAATATCACATGATGCGGTGTCACCCGGCACACAAAAAATGAACTCAGCCAGTAGGAATCTCTGTCTCAGAAATTAAAATATAAGGGGGACTATAATAAGAAGGAGCAGCTGATAGAGGGACATGAGGCTGAAATGATGTATTTTAAAAAACCAGGAGGTAGAGGCAGGGCAATTAGGGATTGTGGCAAACTGAAGCTATAAGAAAGAAAAGAAGCTATTAGATAAAGAAAAGATATACAGAGTAAAGGGATGGAAAAAGTTAGTTAGAAGCAGATGAGCACCAGAAAGAGTCACTGTGAAGAAACGAGGACAGGTTTACTTCAAGGAGGAAAGAAGACAGTCATCCTCTCTCCAGAAATGAAATTTTCTTAAGGATAAACCTTGAGAGTTAAAATGTGATGTGGTGACAGTAGACAGAGACTTGGGGTCAAAACACAGGTCTGCCAAATCATGGTCGTTGCAGCTGAACTTTGAGAAAGATACCAAAATCTGAGCCTCAGTTTCCTGTATAAAACAGACTAGTGATAATACCTACACATCAGATTTTGGAAGTGATGAAATAAGATAATGCAGATGAGGGCTTCCCTGGTGGCGCAGTGGTTAAGAATCCACCTGCTGGGACTTCCCTGGTGGCGCAGTGGTTAAGAATCTGCCTGCCAATGCAGGGGACACGGGTTCGAGCCCTGGTCCGGGAAAATACCACATGCCACAGAGCAACTAAGCCCGTGCGCAACAACTATTGAGCCTGCGCTCTAGAGCCTGCAAGCCACAACTACTGAGCCACGTGCCACAACTACTGAGGCCTGCGTGCCTAGAGCCTGTGCTCCGCAGCAAGAGAAGCCCTAGCAATGAGAAGCCCGCACACCGCAACGAAGAGTAGCCCCCACTCGCCGCAACTAGAGAAAGCCTGCGCGCAGCAACGAAGACCCAACGCAGCCAAAAATAAAATTGTTTTTAATTTTAAAAATTAAGAAAAAAGATAATGTAGGTGAAAGTGACTAGCATGGTGTCTAAGACATATTTAAGTGCTCAGTAGTTGCTTTTGTTTTAACTTGAGAGTTACCTCAGAATATCTGAAAAGGCTTGCACTCCATACTTGGTGCAAGAGTAGACTCCTCCAAAGAAAGCAATTCTTCCCAGAATGCTGGAGACATTGACAATCCTCCCCTGTGCTCTCCTTACCAAGGGAAGCATGTTCAAGGTCACCTCTATCAAACCAATGAGGTTCACTTTGAGGGTATCCATACAGGCCTCAATCTTCAGCCACTCAGTGTAGCCATGCGGGTGAAAAACGCCTGCGTTGTTGACCAGACCCCAGAGCCCTGAAACAATAAAAATCAAAGCAGGAGTTCAGTTTCACACAAAAACGACAGACTTCTACCTTGATCGATCTTCCTGCTGAAGACAACTGAAAATGCTAGACAAAACATATTTTTTCAATCTTCTTAAACACATCTATCACTAAGAAGGTAAAGGAAGTTCAGGCCAAAAACTAAGAGAAGGCACAAATCCAGAGAGGATAAACAGAGCCCTGACGCTAGCTTTTGATTCGAGGGAGTTTGCCAACCAGTGTGACTTTGAACTTTAGTATTTATAGCATCAAAAAACATATACAATAAGAAGACACGAAGTCCAGGGCCCACCTAAGGTAGGGAGTCTAATAAAAGACACTTTCTGCATTAAACTGGAATCCTAAATGGCTACACTATCTCTTTAGTGATAGAGATAGAAAGGACTTTCAAAGGACTGAAAGTAAAACTGCCTATCTTGAGCTCTGGTGTTGGGGGGAGGAGGGAAGAATCGGCCCCAAGGACCAAAAGAAAAGAAGATTTGGTGGAGATGAGATAATAAGAGTCCTTCCTCCTTTAGATTTGGTGAGTTTGAGGTTCCAGCAGAATTTCCAGATGAGAAAGCCAGCAAGTAGTTGGGAATTCAGGGAAGAAATAATTTAGAAATCAAGGACAAAAAGGTAATAGGTTAAACTATGGGTAACTAGGGTCCATTCAACATTTGTTGAACCCTTAACACGTACCAGACAATATGTCGGAAACTGGAAATACAATAATGGGTAAGAGAGGTCCATGTCCTCAAGGAGCACACTCTCTAACAGATGGGAAAACAATAAAAATAATAATAACAATACAGTAGAAATAAACCACTGTGCGCAGCACAGAGGCTATAATTACCCATAACACCTGACTCTAGAGTCAAGAACATCCTCAGGTAGGAGTAACATTTTAAAGTCAACTTTCTAATTTAAAGTAAATTAAAAAAAAAAATTCCTCAATCCAAACAAAACAATTTTATTACTAGTTTGCAACTCCTAGGATGAATATATATTTAGGGGGTCCAATTATCAGGAGCTATTGAATCATAAAACAAGTGGAGGAAAAAGAAGGGGATCAAAGAGGATTTGGATAATATCCAGAGAAAATGAAACTTAGAAAAGAGAATTTATCCATAATTGCCAAAAATTAAAACCAACCAAGATGTCCTTCAGTAAGTGAATGGATAAGCAAACTGTGGTACCTACAATGGAATATTATTCAGTGATAAAATGAAAGGAGCTATCAAGCCACAGAAAAACATAGAGGGACATTAAATGCATATTGTTAAATGGAAGAAGTCAGTCTAAAAGACTTCATACAATATGATTCCAACTACATGACATTGGGGAAAAGGCAAAACTATGGAAACAGTAAAAAGCTGTGTACTTGCCAAGGTTTGGGGGGAGGTGGGGAGAGCAGAGGAGATGAATTGGTGGAGCACAGAGGATTTTTAGGGCACTGAAATTATTCTACATTATTGTACTATAACGGTAGATACAGGATAGTTTACACTTGGCAAAACCCATAGAACCGTACAACACAAAGTGGATCCTAATGTAAACTATGGACTTTAGTTAATGATAATGTATCAATATTGGTTTATCAATGTAATAAATGTACTACACCAATGCAAGATATTAATAACAGGAGAAACTGTAAGAGGGGGGTTGTATATGGGAACTCTGTACTTTTCAACTTTTCTATAAACCTATAACTGCTCTAAGAGATACAGTCTATTAATTACAAAAAGTAAAATAGGGCTTCCCTGGTGGCGGAGTGGTTGAGGATCCACCTGCCGATGCAGGGGACGTGGGCTCGTGCCCCGGTCCGGGAGGATCCCACGTGCCGCGGAGTGGCTGGGCCCGTGAGCCCTGGCCGCTGAGCCTGCGCGTCCGGAGCCTGTGCTCCGCAACGGGAGAGGCCTCAGCAGTGAGAGGCCCGCGTACCGCAAAAAATAAAATAAAATAAAATAAAAGACCAAAGGCCGACTTCCAGGGATGTCTATATTTTAGATAGTAGAAGAATCAGATGTCTATATTTTAGATAGTAGAAGAATCAGATTCTTAAGAACACCTTGAAAATTCTTCAGACATAAAGAATTGCGGTTGTAAACACTCCACTTGCAAGGTGAGATAACAGCCTCAAATCTACTGGGTTCATTTTTCAATGTTACCTTGTTAAGGAAATGAAACACTGCAGAAGATCACAACTGTCCTTCAAATGACAAAGCCAGCTTTTCAAGCCCTGCTTTTGAGATTATATATATATAATATATATATATATACACATAAAACTTTAACATCTTCATTCCTAAGTAAATGAAAGAAAAAATACTTCTCCATACCTCTGTTCCCCACACGCTCCTTCACCCACTCAGTGGCCGCAGCGATGCTCTCAGTCTTGGTGACGTCCAGGATCACCGTCTCCAACCTGTCTGATGTCTGGTTCCTCAGCTGCTCGGCCCCCTGCTCCGTCAGACATGCAGCCAGAACCCTCAAGCCTCGCAGGTGCAGCTGCCTGGCCAGCAGGTTCCCGAAGCCCGAGTCACAGCCCGTGATGAAGACGAACTTGTCCTGGAGGTGGCTCACCACCTGCCTCTCCCGGTACCAGCGCAGGAGGTAGTACAGGCCCACAAGGACCGCCAGGTACAGCCACATGGTGAGGGGACCTCCTTCGAAAGAAAAAGAAGGGGGACTTCCCTGGTGGCGCAGTGGCTAAGAATCCGCCTGCCAATGCAGGGACACGGGTTCAAGCCCTGGTCCAGGAAGATCCCACATGCTGCAGAGCAACTAAGCCCGTGCGCCACAACTACTGAGGCTGCGTGCCACAACTACTGAAGCCCGAGCGCCTAGAGCCCGTACTCCGCAACAAGAGAAGCCGCTGCAATGAGAAGCCTGCGCACTGCAATCAAGAGTAGCCCTCTCTTGCCGCAACTAGAGAAAGCCCGCGCGCAGAAACGAAGACCCTACACAGCCAAAAATAAATAATTTTTAAAAAAAAGAAAAGAAAAAGAGCTTTCATTTTATTCCTTCCTTTTTTCTTTCACTAGTATTTACTGAGTATTGACTATGTGCCAGGCATTGCACTAAGTGCTGGGACTCTGTATTAACTAATACTTGGTCCTACCCTCTAGCCACAGTCTAGAGGGGGGAGTCAGGGAAGTAACCAAACAAATGCACTGCAATGTGGTAGGTGCCAAACAGAAGTATATACAGTCTAATGAGACTATAAAGGAGGGTGACCCACTGCCTGCAAAGTTAGAAACGGATTCACAGAGGCAGTGATTTTGGAACTACTTCCAACAAAATAGTTAAGAGTTCAAAAAGTGGACAAGGCGGGTGGCGGGGGTGGGGGTGTGTGTGATGAATTGGGGGATTGGGACTGACATATATACACTAATATGTATGAAATGGATAACTAATAAGAACCTGCTGTATAAAAAAATAAATAAAATTCTAAAAAAAAAAAAAGTGGACAAGGATAAAAGGACATTCCAGGCAGCAATAGTGTGTACATGAATGGAGTGGTGAGCAGCATAAAACTTCCTGATACCTGTGAGAAGTTCAGATGATGCAGAGAGCACACGAAGGAAGAAATGGAAGATGAGGTAGTGAAGGGCCAGACTAGGAAGGGTCCTGTGGGTCACACTAAGAAATCTGGAGGTTATCTTATAGGCAACAAGGGTGTGCCATTAGAAGGTATTAAACTGAAGACTAATGTCCAGATTTAGCTTTAGCAAGATCTGTCTCACAGTGGGAGTGGAGGATGGATTAAACAGGAAGGGGTGTGATGAAGGCAAAGAGATTAGTTAAGAGACCCAGCAGTTTGGGTGAGACATTGCAGCCAAAGCAGTTTGTAAATATAGACCAATCAGATGCATTATTGAAATGAGTGTTCAGAGATGCCTACCTTTCTATACGTAGTTCTAGAGAAACATCCACCATTTGGGGCAATCTATAGTTGTTGGCTGAACTAACATATGACTCATAAAGTCATAGGCAGAGGTCAAAGATGGGTGTGGGCCCACTAGGACATCATAAGGCCTACACAATGCCTACCTTAGCTTGGCTTTAAGGTCCTCCCGTGCTCTGGCCCTTGATTTCCTTCTTAGCTTTCTCTTTTACCACACCTCTTTTGCACCCTACTCTTTAGTCATAATAAGCACCCTGCAGTACTCCACACAGTACAGGCTTTTCATGCCTCAGCATACAACTCTCTCTACAATTCCTTCTTTCCCAGCTCTCATCCACTTGACAAATAATACTCATCTGTTAAGCCTCCACTGAACCATCATTTTCATTCAACAAACATCAATTCAACATCTACTATGAGTCAGACATGATGTTAGGCACTGATACACACAAGTGAACAAAACAAGGTTCCATTATTCATTGAATTCACAGTCTAAGTGTAAAGACTGACAAGAAAACAATGCAATATACAGTCGTCCCTTGGTAGCCACAGAGGACTGGTTACAGGACACTTCACAGATACCAGAATCTGAACATGTTTACATCCCTTATGTAAAATGGCATAGTATTTGCATATAACCTATGAACAACCTCCCGTACACTTTTTTTCTTTTTTAACATCTTTATTGGGGTATAATTGCTTTACAATGGTGTTTTAGCCGTACACTTTAAATCATCTCTAGATTACTTATAATACTTAATTCAATCTAAGTGCTATGGAATAGTTGTAAACACAATGTAAATGCTATGTATCGATAATTAGTTATAAAAACAATGTAAATGCTATGTAAATAGTTGCTGGCATGCAGCAAATTCAAGTTTTGCCTTTTGGAACTTTCTGGAAATTTTTTTTCTAATATTTTTGATCTGTGGATGATTGAATCTGCAGGTGCAAAACTCGTAGATATAGAGGGCCAACCACAATAGAAGTAAGGGCAGGATGCTGTTGGAGCATACAGGAGAGGCTTCCAAGCCAGTCCAGGGAGATCTGAGAAGTTTCCTAGTGAGAGTAAAATATAACTTGAGATCTAAAGCATAATAAACTAAAAACAAAAGCAGCTAATGCTTGCATAGCACTTGCTGTGTATCAGGCCCTGTTCTAAGCATTTCACATATATTAACTTATTGAATTCTCACCACAGCCCCATAAGGCAGGTCCTGTCAATATCCCTGTGTGTCGGTTCAGATGCCAAGACAGAACTAGACAGGCAAGGGACTCACTGAAGGAAACAACTTATAGAGAATAAAGGGGGCAAGTGTAGGAATAGGTGCCAATACATGTCTGACACCTCTGAAAGAAGAGAGAGAAGAAAAAAGGAATTAAAAGGAAGAAGCTTTAACTACAGTTCAGCCCTGAGAAAGTCTCAGCTAGGCTGATGAGGGTCCTGGAGCAAAGATTGCCAGTAGAGTCCCACATTGGGCCGAACTGGTTAGAACTTTCAGTCCCACCTCCAGGGAGAGGAGAGGGGCTGGAGATTGAGTTCAATCACTAATGGCTAATGATTTAAATCAATTATGCCTAAGTAATGAAGCCTCATCAAAACCAAAAAGAACAGGGTTCAGAGAGCTTCCAGGTGAACATATGGAGATTCAGGGAAAGTGGTGTACTCGGAGAGGGCATGGAAGCTCTGCACCCTTTCCCCATAACTTGCCCTAAGCATCTCTTCCATCTGGCTGCTCCTGAGTTGTATGCTTTTTTAATAAACTAGTAATCAGATAAGTAAAATGTTTCTCTGAGTTCTGTTAGCCACTCTAGCAAATTAATCGAACCCAAGGATGGGGTTGTTGGATCCTCCAATCTATAGCCAGTCCGTCAGAAGCACAGATGATAATCTGGGCTTGCAACTGGTGTCTGAAGTGAGGGGTGAAGAGGGTAGTCTTGTAGGACTGAACCCTTGACCTGTGGAATCTGATGCTGTCTCCTGGTAGTTAGTGTCAGAACTGAGTTGAATTGTGGGACACCTAGCTGGTGTCACAGAGAATTGCTTGTTGTAATTGGGTCCAGAACTGTTAAGGGTATAGGGGAATAAAATTATAGGAGGCAGTGAAGGGGAGAAAACAGTGGATAGAGACATTTAATACTCCCTCCCTCCTCTTCTCTTTCTCTCCTTTTCCCCCTCCCCCCACCTCCCTATTCTCTCCCCTCCCCCAAGCTTTCTGCTCTCTCCAATCTGAGAGCTCTGTGTTCTCTAGCCAGCTGCCTCTGTTCTGCCCAACTGTCATTCTCTGGTGCACTGTAGTAACAGAGCTTCATCCTGCTTGTTTACTGACTAAAAGGGTAATTTCCTGATGCCAGTCAAAGATGAAAATCCATTTCCCCCATTAGGAAGAAGCTTGGAACCCACAGCCTCTCTGGGTATTACTACTATTCAACCATCACCGAGCAAGAAGACTAAACCTGCAGAAGAAATATGCCAGGCCAGGCAGAATCCCAAAACGTGAGCCAAAAGTGAACATTAATCAAATACTTGCAGATGCCTTGACTATTTCAAATATCTATATCCCTTGACCTGACCATTTTCTGAGGTTCTGTCCTGTATTTCTAATTTCCTTAAGTACTCTCCAGCCAGCTGTGTAGCAAGAAACTCAATATATCCGAGATAGAACACATCATATTTTCTCCTAAAACTGTTTCTCCTCCAGTATTCCCAATTTCTATTTGTATTACTTTTTAGTCTTAAGGCTCTGACACTTCCTCTTCATTGCCCCATGCATTCCCTCGGGAGACGAGGCTGTAGAGTCTAGCTCTCTAGTATCTGGAGCACCTGTCCCCTCCCCTTCATTCCTATGGCCACATCCATTGTTCAAGCCTTCAACGTTCAGTACCTCTTGCTTGGCCTATCATAGAAGGCTTCTCACCATCCCCACAGCGTCAGTCCCTTCCCCTCTCCTCCACATGGTGCTGTCTGGTTAATTTTCCTAAAGCACAGCTCTGGTGATGTGACTACCTGAAAAGCATCCAACCTACTAAATAAAATCTAAATCATCTTAATCCACGATTGGGCCTCAACCTTATCTCCCCCTCCTCCCACTCACATGGCCTATGTTCCATCCAAACCAAACAGCCTGCTGCTCTCCATTTATTCATGCCCTGCTCTTTCCACGCTCCAGATCTGTGGTCTCACCATTCCCTTTGCCTGAAATGCCCTTCTTGCTTATCTTTGCATGTCAGTAGACTACCTGTCCTGCAAGACTCAGCAAATCACACTTCCTCCATATAAAGCCATCTCTGAATTATCAACAGCAGGTCTGCTCTCCCATAACAATCTATTCATACCTCTCCTGTGTAGCTCATCTCTCCAACTGGACTGGTACTCCTGGGGTAGTTCTGTGACTGATTCATCTTTATACACAGGACCTACTTCAGGGCTTTGGTCCAGTATATAGTTGAACTGAATAAACAGTTACCACTTCTGGAAGAGCCTGTTTGTTTTTAATATATATTCAGAAAACGGTGCCACTGTACCCAATTGATCAACTATGGTTGTACATCACCATTTTATTTGCTGCATTATTTTTCTTTTTCTTGAAAGTAGCAACTATAATATAATACATAGTAAGTGTTTCTACACATTTTTTCCTTCTCTATAGATATTTAGAAAGTGTCTAACTTCATGAAGACACAGAGAAGCAAGAGTAAGCCAAGACTGTGCTTCCTCACCCTGACCATTCTGCCTGGAACCTGGTACCTCCTCACTCA